TCTGGTCACAAGTAGAGTGTTTTTCATTTTTCTTAACCCTCCTGAGATAATGGATCCATAAATTATCTTATTCTCCTAAGGAACTGTATGTTAAACCTGAGATGCTATATTTGAGCTAATTGTTCATTAAAACGAGTATCTTTCACATTGTACAACTCGGCTGTCTGAGCAATAAAGCGAAGGAGTAGAGAGACTTTGAAAAACAGGAAGTCTATGATTAACGTAGACACGACCACAAGTTAGACCTCCACCTGCTATCCTGCACACGCTGAAAGGGCACCCCCACCTCCCCAGCCCATTTGCCAACAGCAGACTATGTAACGAGCCTTCTGCACCATACAGTGAAAACCAGCTGAGATGGGGGATGACACCAGAGAAGTTTCATTTTACAATTTTCCCCTTGTGTTGTTCAGTTGGCTAACATGTTTAATTACGTGATAAATTGAAAACGTTGGCAGGAACTACCTTTTGTAAAATTTGAGCTTTTGAATATTACTTTGATGGTATTTTGGGTGGATTTCTTTGCCGCTCCCCTGCAACAGAAGGAAAAGTTGACCCTGTGAGCACACCATGGGAAGTAAAGCCTGTGGCTATGTGGCATTAACGGAAGAGACAAAAGTTTTGCACTAGTCTCTTATGATTTGACTGAAGTATTCAATGAGAGCTTTTCAAAGATAAAGCTGAAGTGCAGATCTCACTGTGGCCCTTCCACCAGCAGATTAATAGAATAAATGAAAAAGGACTGCCATTTATAGTAGGAAATAGGTATTTCACCCCCTTTTTTCATACTGAAATGTTAAAACGCATTCTTCAGAAAAACTTTTGCTCTCAAATGCACTATCAAACTTCTACAAAGATCAGTCACTTGATCTAAGTCTTTTGCCAAGCATGTGACATGTCAGCTGAGCTACATTACTGTTGACTCACTGTCAAGAACACGACGTGTCTGCTAACTAGCTCCCCCTAGTAACTCAAGATAATCCTCCCTCCCAGCTTCCTGAACACTAGTAAGTACAACAATTATTTTTTCAAAGTTCCAAATTTCCAATAACTTTTTGGAGGATGGGGAAGTTCCTACTTAGGTTACAAAGGTTTCTCACTTAATCATCATCAAAAAATAAAACTCTTTTTTAACTTAGTTGGATTTTAAAATGTTTTCAAATACACAGCAGCATTGTCTTAGGCCAGGCAAATCAAGGGCAACATTTCCACTTAGTAAAGCTTGTTGTTATTATTGTTATGTGCCGTCGAGTCAGACTCGACTCATAGCGATCCCTCCTTGGGTTTCCGAGGCCGTATCACTATGGAAGTAGATTGCCCAACCTTCCTTCCGAGGAGTGGCTGGTGGGTTTGAACCGCCAGCCTTCTGGTTAGCAGTCAAATGCCTTAGGCACTGCGCTACCAGAGCTCCTTAGTAAAGCTTACATATATCTATCAAACAACAAAAGCCAATCCTCACTGCCATCATGTCAATTCCAACTCACAGCGACCCGATAGGACAGAGCAGAACTGCCCCACAGGGTTTCCAGGCTGTAATCTTGAGGGATACTCACTGCCACATCCATCTTCCCTGAAGTGGCTGATGGATTTGATCTGCAGACTTTCTGGTTAGTAGCTGAGCACTTTAGCCACTGCACCAAAGAACAAAAATAAATCTATGTGTAGCTTTGACTTCTCCCAAAACATGACATGTAATGGAGAGCCATGGAGCTAATGATGGCTTTAATGGCCCCAGTATCTAAACTTTTTTTTTTTTTTTTTTTTGCAAAACCCTCTCCCATTCCACAGTTTCAAGACGTAGTAGTCAGGACACAGGTTCTGTTCCTCAAGTTGTGTCCACAGTCTCGTTATTTCTCCCCCATTTACTTCATCACCCTGCCCCCAACCTTCTCATCCACACTTTAAAGTAGCTGTGTCTTCATGATGATCTGCAGGGCTTCAGACCTCACCCTTCACTGCTATGCCACCCTGTCTCTCAAGAGCTCACAGACCACTGGGGGAGCTGAAAAGTGTCCTGCATGGCTACAGCGGAATGCTCCCTCCTCTTCCTAGGAAGAATCTAGTATTATTTATTTACCCTTGTCGACTAATTATGTTTGTGAGTGAGTGGCAGGTGGTATTGCTGTTCCAGTAATTACACGGTCTACTTTTTCATCTCTAAGTGTCAAATGAAAGGCTTTGTCTCCATTAAAGGAAATGTATATACTCCAAGTCAGGCACAGAGAAATTATGGAGGCAAATGTAAACGACCTGTTAACCAACCCGGAAGAGAAATCAGAGTCAGCACACCGTGATTACGGAGGATCACTCTTGCTCTCAGTAACAGTCTACTCCCATGAGCAGCTGTCAAGTATAATCCTAAATCCCACTGGAACATGTGCTCTGTTAACACCACATCATCGCGTGTTTGGCAGCCCCACACTCTCTGCAGGGCAGCTGCCTGCTAGAGCCTGTTCCACTCTCCCCTTCACTCCCGGCCTGACCAGACAGGGTCACTCCTTCATTTGTTCCAATTCCAGCTGCTCTCTGTACTTCAAGACTCTGAGATGCACATTTTGTGTATTCTAGAGCATATGACAACATTTGATACTGAATAAAATGTTGGTATCTGTCTTAGGCTGGGTTCTCTAGAAGACCCAAACCAGGGAAGCATTTATTCGATCCAGGTCATGTTAGCCAAGGACATCATAAGGCAAAGGCTGTGGCACCTGTCCCTGTCCTGTCATGGTATAGCCAGGATGTCTTAGCTGTGGAGCCATGGTGACCGTCACACAGACTGGAGCTGGGCTCTTCTGGATACATAGCTGGACACCATCTGTTTAAGTTGCCACCTAATTGTTCCATTTCCTTGCAGGTACAGAAAGATTTATTTCAAGGAAGTGGCTCATGTAGTTGTAGAGACTGGCAACTCCAAAGCTCATGGGTTAAGCAGGAGGCTGGCGGCTTCTCCTGATTCATATGGTTGCAGGAGCTGACGAACCCTAAATTGGCAGGTCAGGCAGAAGGCTGCTGTCGCGTGTGCGGAAGCTGGCAAATCTCAAAATCTGAAGGTCAGATGATAGGCTGCTGGCCCACATCTCAAGACCAAGAAGTCAGAGAGTGACAAGTCAGATTCAGGATCAAGAGAGGGGGAACTTTGCCAGAAGATCCACATATATTGGATGCAGGCCACACCCCCAAGGAAACTCCTCTTTCAATTGACTGGCTGCTCACATCGGCTCACACACAGAGGATGATTACATAATATCTGCCAAACCACTAAGAATCATGGTCGAGCCAAGCTGACATGTAACCTTAACTATCACAACACCCATACACATCTTCTTAAACCACACTTAGTCTCTAAATAAAGACAATCATAAAGTCCTACTTGTGGCTAACATGATGTAACCAATATGCGTACAACCAAAAATGCACTAGCCTCATTTACATCTATTTTTATTGTAAGTAATGGAATAAGGGAGGGTAGGAAACAAAGATATTTGACGTGTGTGCGTGTGTATACATACACATATACATATACACATTCATGTATAAAAAACAAGAAAGAAATACTCAAAACAATTACAGCTCTCATTTCTGCAGCTGGTCACATGGTTAGAGCTGATATTTAGAACTGCCTTCTTCCACCACTCATTCCATATTCCCTTAGCCTTTAGTAAGTACCTCAGCTGGTCATGGTTCTTTTGATGACCCAAGCCTTCATTCCTGAAGGGTCTGAGCCATTAGTAGTCATGTGCTGGAATGGGAAGCTGTAGTTTTCCACTGACTTTACATACCTAAATAACCAGACAACTGAGACAGTAGCCCCTTCTCCTTCCCCTAACATCTCTGCCAACGCCCCAATGCTATCACTTCTGGTAACTACATGTACGAGCTGTGGAGCTACCATTGTGACATAAATCTGAGCACACAGAACGATACCTGAGAAACACGATGAGCATTTACACTCATAATGAAGATGAAAGAAACAATGACCAGGCAAGGTCTTTAAGTCATAGCTGATGAGTCTTACAAAATAAATATTTAGTTGTGTAGGTCAGCCACTGCAAAATGTTCCCAGTGCCCCTCGTATGTCAGAGACAGTAAAAGTCATCCCACCTACCCCACATGGAGAAAGCCTCAAGCTCTAGGAAAATGTAAATGATGATTCTCTTCTGTCAAGTCCTTGAGCCATCCAATACACACTGTTCACTTAGTTGTCAGCATTAACTTCCTGGTGTTGGTACTGATGTTTACACATATACACACATGTGTGCACTTTACTTTTATAAGTGGCTTTGAAGGCTCTTTTATTTTTTTGTTCTGCACTTCCATTCCTCCAATGCCAACAATAACATTTTACACTTAGTGAGCCTTCAACAAATCTTTCTTAAATACATTTCCATGATTAGTATCCTTTCTGTTAGAAAAGAAAGTTATTGATTTAATTGCTTTTTCATATAACCATATAATTTATTTTCTAAGTATTTGCTTCTGCAGACTAAAACTCTTTATAACCATACGTGTGTATCAAATATTCTGTGTATCAAAGTCACATTGATTGGATCATACTATTTTGAGGCATCTCTCTTCCATTTAAATAATGCCAGAAGCTGTATTTGCCCTATTCCAAATCTCAAGATACTCCTGCATATTCTGAAAGGCATCAAAAATAATCATTCAAAGTAACAGTGGCAGCCACGGAAGATTGGTGTTCTCCTGGCCTGTGACTGCACTTGGCATTGCTACTTTGAAGCAAGAAGAGTGGGACCTCATCTCTCCTCTGCTTTGAGCTCCCACATGAATGGTGGCAGGTCGATAAATCCTGTGGCCACAGGAAAAATTTTAGCTGCTTGGCCACAGGTGCTGGAAAATGATAGAAGAAACAGATTGTCCAATCTTTAAATCTGTGTTATCTTCAAGGAGCCTATAAAGGCAGGCCACAAACACACATGCTATAAAAGCTTTAGATCTCCCTCCAGAAAATGAATTCTTCCCAAGAAGTTCAAATCACCCACCTTGGAGTTCTCCACTCCGACTATAGAGCTCCCTTCTCTGTTCTCGCAAATAGGCACTCATACTGATGGCATGCGAGGAGGATTCGAACCTGCAAGGAAATGGAACAATTAGGTGGCAACGAAACAGATGGTGTCCAGCTATGTATCCAGAAGAACCCTGCTCCCGTCTGTGTGACAGTCACCACGGCTGCACAGCTGAGACAGCCTGGCTATACCACGACAGGACAGGGCCAGCCGCCACAGACTCTGCCTTACGACGTTCTTGGCTAACACGACCCAGACCTTCTGCTTGGACCTTCTGCTTGTTCTCCATTCCAACCAATTCCAATTCTAAGCTGCCCCAACTTCACTTTGCCCCAAGACCTTCATTCTCCCCTTCCTGCACACACATTGTAATAGGCACAGCCTACAAAGTCATCTGAATTATGTTACTACCCAGCTCAAAAGTCACCAGGACTTGTCAGCTGCCACCGCAGAAACACTGGCTCCCTAGAGCAGAACTCTTGCCCTCCTGACTCCTCTGGGTGGAAGATGAGGATAAGGACACTAGACCTGCTGCAGAGTAACTACACTGTAGCAGCAAGGCAGCCATGGCATCTCTCTGGGTGGCCTCAAAAATCAACCATTTCAAAATGGCTAACAGCTCTTTTGACCCGCAGCCTACCAAAGAAAATACTCCCCAAACAATCATACACCAGAACGTCTGGTCCTAGTAACCCAAGAAGTGTTTTCAAGGTCAGAAACGTGGGCAATAGGCTCAGGATAAAGAAGGATCTCTAAAAACTGAAACAGTGAATACCAGAGAGAAAATTCAACAAGAAACCAGTCTTAAGAGAAACTTGCAAGTAAGGGGGGTAGGGGAAACAGGTAAAATTTTGATTGCATCAGACAGAAAATCCTTTGGTGTGCTAAGAAATTCCATTTCAAACCTGCAGTTTTCAAAGGTAAGCTAACAGGCTTACGAGAGGAGAAATCCTTCTAGAATGACTGCCACTAGGCGGTAAACAGCAGCATAATGAAAGAGCAACAGTGACAATGGGATAGGCTTCTGCCACAAGGAAGGAGCGCTGTCAGTTCCTTAATTACACCTTCTGCACCCGCTCCTTGGCAGGGAAGATGAATACCAAGATGAACGTCAGTCTGGGAGAAACACTTGGGCTGCTTGATCCTCTCCCCTGCACCCTGCCAAGAACTAAGACGACACTAAGTGCCAGAAGGAAGACAAAGTGTGCAGTACTTCAAAAGTGCCACCTGCCAGTCACATGCAAAAAAGATGCCACTGACCTCCACAAAGCCTGCTGGCAGCTACTGATCAGAGATGGCAAGGAAAAAAATAAACTGTGGAGCAGCGAATAGAGAGACTTCCATTATACAGTAAGAGAGAACCTGAACACACTGAATTAACCTTAGCTACAGGCAGTTAGAGAAAGTCTGTCACAAGATCTGATTTAAAAAAAAAAAAGCATTACATCTTGCCAAAATTTCAATCCTTCATGACCTGGTGTATTTTGGCTACTCAGGAACCCTTTTTATGTTTGCAACAAGTCACAGAAGGATATAATTTGACAGTGAAAGAGGCATTCTGGGTTATTCAATCTCAGTTCCTTACTTCATGGCCAAAGGCAGTGAGACCCAGTGATACAAGAGACTCGCCCCAGCTCACAAGCACATCAGAATAGGAGCAAGTCTAGAAGTATGCACATCCACACCCGTGGCAACAGTCTAATTCCATATGGCTGGTGTGCTTTTATTAATGCCCAATACAAATAAATGTCTAATAATTATTTAAATTAATTTGTTCATTTCCAACAGTTCATACCTTTCTGATACCATGACGTCTGAGACACTGGTTGAATGTTAGAGAATGCATGTGTGGTCTGAGGTTTCAAGTTAGGGGTGAGGGCTAAGAACTTGAAATTGGAAATCCCTTAAACCTGTTCTCCGGAACACACTTCGATTTCCAATGGTAAGTTAAACTAGAAAAGAAAAGGCCTGGTTGGTGGCATCCAATGCCTCCAGCACTCCCCTCTTCCTTCTACCATTTTTATTCCTTGCTAGCACAGGCCCAATTTTATCCGGGCATTCTGCTTCCTTGCTCTCATCACTCGGCCTTGTGCTCAGGCAAAGTAACTGCTTCTCCAGTTCAGCCCTAGCAACAGAGATGAACCTGACTTGTTCAAGACAATCTCCACGGTTCCCCTCCCCTTGGCAGTGAACATACGACCTGATCCTACAGCTTGAGAGGAGTTTGTTCACTGGCAGAAAGGTTTTGTCATTAATAAAAGTAGATTCTCAAAAGAATGCCACACCATTTCCTTGGCATCACCATCTTTATTGGACCAGCACTAAATGTCACTAACATGTTGAGGATGACAAGGCAGAGAATGGAAAGGGCCTGTGTGCTTAACCATGCCAAAGTACTGAATTAAAGAACCCACTCATGTGTAAGATAATAACTTTCCTATGGCTTATGCCACATGATGTTACTTGCAGCCTAAAGCATTTTAAGAGATTACTAGATCTAACCTCTGAATAAAATCTAAGAAAAAGAAATACATTCAATAAACAGAATGGGTTTTCTGTAAGGCAGAAGACCAAAACTCCAAACCCACGGCCAACAAATTGTTTCTGACTCACAGCAACCCCCACTGGGTTTCCAAGACTGCAAATCTTTACGTAATCAGATCACCTTATCTTTCTTCTATAAAGCGGCTGGCAGATTCAAACCACCGACCTTTCAGTCTGTAGCCAAATGCCTTAACCACTGTACTATCAAAGCTCCTTACAGGAGGACACTCACTAAATTTCCTGTCTGCTTGAACACAAGATAAATGAACTGTTGAAACCTTCCATAATAATTACACAAATTAATTTTTTTTAATTTTTTTAAATATTTTTAAGCATTAAGGAAGGTTTCAACAGTTTATTTATCTCATGGTCAAGCATGCAGGAGATTTTTTTTTAAATCCACAATGAAAATAAATCCCAATAGTGACAAACATAGACAGACAAGATAATCAGGTATGGATAGGCAAACAGGACAACATCCATGACCATATATAAGTTTGGAAGACAGTATATCTACATACATATTTCTATGTGCTATAGAAATGTGAATATATATGTGTGCATATGCATGTCTGTGTGTGTGTGTATAGTTATTGTTGTTATGTGCCTTCGGGTGGCCTCTGACTCATAGTGACCCCATGTACCACAGAAGGAAACACTGCCCAGTCTTGTGCCAGTCTCATGATCCCTACTATACCTGAGCCCACTACTGCAGCCATCTTGTTGAGGGCCTTCCCCTCTTTTGTAAACTCTCCACTTTACCAAGCATAACATTCTTCTCCACTGAATGGTACCTTCTAAGATCATGACTAAAGGAGGTGAGACAAAATCTGTCCATTCTCACTTCCAAGGAGCATTCGGCTGCACTTCATCCAGGACAGAATTGTCAGTTCTTTTACCAGTCCACGGTACTGTTAGCATTCTTCGCCAGCACCACAACTCAAAAGCACCAACTCTTCTTCAGTCTTCTTTATTCGTTGTCCAGCTCTCACATGTATATATAAGGCGACTGAAAATACTATAGCTTGGGTTAGGCATATCCTAGCCTTCAAGGAGATATCTTTGCTCTTCAGCACTTGAAAGAGATGTTTTGCAACAGATTTTCCCAAGGCAATACGTTTTTTGATATCTTGACTGCTGCTTCCATTGGTGTTGATTGTAAAAGCAAGTAATATTAAGTCTTTGAAAACTTCAATCTTTTCTATCATGATGCTGCTTACTGGTCCAGTTGTGAGGATTTTTGTTTTCTTATATTGAGGTATAACCCATTCTACAGACTGTAGTCTTTAACCTTCATCAGTAAGTGCTCAAAGTCATTGTTACTTTCAACAAGCAAACGTGTGTCATCTGTGTCTCTCAGGTTGTTAATGAGGCTTCCCCCAATCCTGATGCCACGTTCCTCTTCATATAGTCCAGCTTCTCAAATTATTTTCTGAGCATACAGATTGAATAAGTATGGTGAAAGGATACAACCTGGACACCCTTCCTGATTTTAAACCATGCAGGATCCCCTTGCTCTGTTCAAATGACAGCCTCCTGGTCTACAGACAGGTTCCTCATGAGTACAATTAAGTGTTCTGGAATTCCCATTCTTCTCAATACTATCCATAATATGTTATGATCCACACAATCAAATGCCTTTGCATAGTCAATAAAATGCAAGTAAACATCTTTCTGGTATTCTTTGCTTTAAGCCAAGATCCATCTGACATCAGCTATGATATCCCTCATTCCACATCCCCTTCTGAATCCAGTTTGCATTTCCGGAAGTTCTCTATCAATATACTGCTGCAACCATTTATGAATTATCTTCAATTAGATTTTACTTGTATCTGATATCCATGATATTGTTGGATAATTTCCACATTCTGTGAAATCACCTTTCTTTGGAAGGGGTACAAATATGGATCTCTTCTAGTCAGTTGGCCAGGAACCTGTCTTCCAAGTCTCTCGCCATATTCGAGGGAGTGCCTCCAGCACAGCATCAATTTGTTGAAACATCTCAATGGGTATTCCATCAATTTCCAGAACCTTGTTTTTCACCAATTCCTTCAGTACAGCTTCAACTTCTTCATTCAATATCATTGGTTCCTGATTATATGCCATCTCCCAAAATGGATGATCATCTACCAATTCTTTTTGGTATAGTGATTCTGTGTATTCCTTCCATCTTCTTTTGATACTTCATGTATCATTCAGTATTTTGCCCATAAAATCTTTCAATATTGCAACTTGAGGCTTGAATTTTTTCTTCAGTTCTTTCAGCTTGAGACAGGCTGAGGCATGTTCCTCACTTTTGGTTTTCTAAGTCAAGGTGTTTGCACATTTCATTATAATAATTGACTTTGTCTTCTCGAGCTGCTCTTTGAAATCTTCTGTTCAGCTCTTTTATCTTGTCATTTCTTCCCTTTGCTTTAGCTACTCTTCATTCAAGGGCAAGTTGCAGAGTCTCTTCTAACATCCATTTTGGTCTCTTCTTCCTTTCCTGTCTTTTTAATAACCTCTTGCTCTCATCATGGATGATGTTCTTGATGTCATCCCACAATTCCTCTGATTTTCAGTCACTGGTGTTCCATGAATCAAATCTATTCTTCAGGTGGTCTCTAAATTCTGGAGGGATATAATCAAGGCCATATTTTGGCTCTCATAGACTTCTTTTAATTGTCTTCAGCTTCAACTTGAAATTGCATATGAGCTACTGCTGGTCAGTTCCACAGTCAGCTACTAACTTTGTTTTGGCTGAAGATAGTGAGCTTCTCCATCGCCTCTTTCCACACATGTAGTCAATGTGATTCCTGTGTACTCTATCTGGTGAAGTCCACGTGTATAGTCATTGTTTGTATTGCTGAACAAAGGTATTTGCAATGAGTAAGACATTGGTCTTGCAAAACTATATCATGTGATCTCCAGCATCATTTCTATCACCGATGCCATATTTTCCAACTATCAGTGATTCTTCGTTTCCAACTTTTGCATTCCAATGACCAGGGATAATCAACACATCTTGATTGCATGTTCGGTCAATTTCAGACTGCAGAAGTTGGTAAAAATCTCCAATTTCCTCATCTTTGGCTTTGGTGGATGGTGCATACATTTGAATTTATTATCCTATCACTGACAGCATTGTACCTCAGAATATATCTTTTTTTTTTTTTTTTAATTAGAATTTGGGTGAAGATTTACAGAGTAAATTCACTTTTCATACAGCAGTTCACATATACTTTGTCTCATGTCATTGACCAAAATTTA